TCAAATTAATAAGTAGTTAGTTAAAAATAATAAATTATTAGAATAATTTATGATAGTTCCTTTCCTTGTAATCACAAAAGAAAAAATAAAAATTTATATAATTTATAATTTAATTAAGGAATAACTGTTAATACAACCAAACAAACACTAAAAATATTTGTTTCTTCAATTTTATGCGTGTCAACAAAAAAAAAAGCCATAAAAAGAAAGGAAAAAAAATTAAATGTAGAATGAAACCTAAAATATAATTTTAGTTATTCTCAAATAAAACAGGAAAATGAAAAGAGAACTTGAAAAATGTAAATTTCTTTTAAAGTCTAATAATATAAAGCATGAAAGAAAGGGTAGTTGTAACAGTTTTTAAAAATTGCAAGAACCTTTTAAGTTTTAAAGAAAGAGAAGAGAAACAGTGTATTTTAGATTGTTAATACTTAGAAGAAAAACAGGTTACAAAGTTAAAGTATTTGAGGGATTTTAGTTTTTTAAAAGATAAATGGGAGGTGTGGTTACACATGGTGGATTTAAATCCATTTATCATAAAAATTTAAGTGTAGTTTAATTTTTTAATACTACATAAGTATTATGATGTATATTTATATTTATAAGTATAATTGTAAAAGTTATATTTAATTTATAAAAATATATATTTATAGCGATAAATCCAAAATATTCACAACATTATTCGATATACGATATATATTGTAACAATAGCAAAACTAGTATGCATATTGTTACCGTATTGACAACTTTAGTAGGGAGGTTAAAAATTTTACTTTATTTGATTATCAAAAAAAATTAAAAAAAAGGAGAGGGGAAGAATTCCATTTACTTTATTTTTTTAATTTAATTTATATATTCAAATAAGGGGAAAGGAGAGAAATGGAATGATACAATTTTCCTCTCATTCCTCTCCTCTCCCTTCATTTTCTTTCATTTAAATATATAGTTAATTTTTTTTAATTTTATTTCCTATTAATAATTACTCTTAACTCTAAAAATTTTTGTTTTTTAAGATTGTATTTAATACACTTTTTTTACCATTAAGTTGTATGAAAACAAAATAAAGTTTGACTTTAATTTTAACAATTAACTAGTTAAATCAAGGCCAAAGTCCCTATTTGCACCTTCCATTTAACTCATTTTCGCGATCAATACTTTCCAAAATTTTTCTTCCTTATTCACACCCTTGACTTTTCAAAACCTGTAAAAAACTCAATATTTTAACGAGCTGTAACGGAAACGTTAATAATTGTTAAAAATTATAATACGTGGCATCAAACAGTAAAATAAACGTTATGTCACCTTACTAATCTGATGTGGACTTTTGTTTTTGATGATGTGGCATAATTAAATCATAATTAATTTTAATT